GCTGTGTTATGCTGTATATGCTAGCTGCAGCACAGCACTGTGGCCTCTCACAGGCTCTGTGACATTGCACTCTGAGCACAGTTGGTTAAGTAATTGAGTGGAACAGCTGCATGTATTACGAGACACTACAGAGCAAGAGGTAGATCACTGTGTAAAGCAGTTCAAGAGATGATTTTAAGCATGACAGCAGGCCGTGGCCACAGGCTTTACAGCAGCTTTTGCTAGATGCAAATGCCGAGATGCTCAGGCTGGAGGATATGTCAGGGACTTAAATCTTAGGTGCATATACCTCTTGAGGAGATAGCCCAGGACTATTGGAGGAGGAAGTATGCTTAAAGATCATGGTTTGGGGATATTTGAAGAGGTGTTCTTCATTGTGACACTTCATAAAATCAAAACATTGAAATAGACATGCCAGCATCAGGATTGTCCAACTTGATGTGAATGCAGTTGTTGCTGTAAATGTTTTTTCCTTCAGCTGAGCTACTTGCAAAGCTGTCAGAGGCCAGCTGTGGTGTTTGTTGGTGGATTCATCTTCTTTGTGTAGACTTAATGGCACTGTTGCTTCTGATTGGTTTGGTGGCTAACAAAAATGGAGAGGAAAAACAGAAAGGCCAGCGACTGCTTCAGTCTCAAGATAGAAATCTCTTCAGATAAGAGTGCATGCTTGTGTCATTTGATATTGTCACTTGCCTGTCTCTTGACATTGCTGTTTTCATGAGAACAACTGCGCTGTTAGTGGTAACTGTTCTTATATGGAAGGTGCTTTTGATATCTCTTAAGCCTGTACATTGTTAAATTAGCTACTACTCTGTGCAGTCAGAAACATGCGTTCTCCTCACAACTGCATTCAGGCTTCTGTGCTATCAGAAATAAATTATATGAAATGTTCAATACCTGATGTCCCTTATCTGTGTTGTGTTTTGTGGTGTTTTGTTTTATTTTTTTTTCTATTGTAATTTTTTCCCTCTTTTTTCCCCTTTAGCAGTGTCTGTTTTCCAGAAGGTTGCTTCTTGGACTACTCACCTGTTAAATAAGTCTCTCAGTTTTTCTGCTTTCTGGCCAGTTTTCTTCATGCCATCTAGCTAAAATACCTTGCCATAGATGAGAATTATTTAGAAGCACTCTGTTTTTTCTTCAGCTGTCTGTGTTAATGTGAGTCATATTGGCTTTTGCCAAGGAGCTAGTTTTCTGACTGTCATTTTATTATATCGACTGATAATTGCAACTGACCTATCTCCAAACGTATCGTGAATCCACTGCATATGCTTTGCAGGTAATAACTGGTTTCTCTGAATGCATAGCATTTTCAGCCTGTACTTTTTTCCCCCTCTTCTGTTTACTCTCATCTTTATTCTTATCTCTAATTCCAATTATGTTTTCACATGCAGTGTCCCAGCAGCTTTTGTTAATCTCTTGCTGATCTCAGTTACACGTCAAGGTGGCTCTCTGCATATGTTAACATGTACTGACAATAGACTTCCTTCCCTGCTTGGGTTTACCTACTGTGCTTCACTGGCAGTTCCATCATAAAGATTTTTAGCAGCAGAGTGGTATATGGAATTTTCAGTCCAGCTGTTCTCTTCAGTGATTCATTTCACAGCAGTCCAGTGTTGTGTTCATCAGAAAGGCTAACACACCAAACTGGCTCTGACCCTCCTGCTCCGAAAACAGCTATGTTTAACCTGGATTGTTTCAGTGTTGGCATTTACAGAATAGAACCACACAGAATTATGCAGAGGGAGTAGTGAACTCTAGCTTCAGGGCAGAAATGAGCTGGTGGGAGAGCTGGGGAGAGGAGTTCCTGAATCTCGTTACTGCTGAAGCCTTCATGGTGGAAAGCCATGGCACGACTCACAACCACAGTTGCTCCTTGTCCAAGCAAGGAGGTGAAGCCTCTGATGCCAAGTGACTAGCAGCACAAAAGTGAGTGGAAAGCATTTATGATTAAAAACAGAACTGAAATAGCCTTTGTTGTTCACACAGGGGATAATGAATCTAGTAGCTGTGTTGAGTTTTACTGCCTGTTAGTATGAAAACTGCTACGTGCTTTCTGCAATCCAGCAGTGTACCTTGTATCGGCTGATGTTAACCCTGCCAAAAGACAGTACTGCATCAAGTCTACCAGTCTGGTTCTTTTATGCTAATAAAATAAACTGTTAATATACTTTGATTCAGAATGTTGTACCCATGTACCAACATGGCTGGTGTCACTGGAGGCACAGCCTCCATAAGCATTTTAATAGTCTGAGTAATCTTCCTTTTTCATAGGAAACCCTGCATCATTTTAGGTATACTTTCATGCTCATGAAATGGTGTTTGCTGTATTGGGATTTTTCTAGGTGTAAACTGTGTTTGTCACAGCTCTTATTTGCTCCTGAAATGCTTTCTGAAGGGGACACAGGAAGGGAAAAAAGAAGAATTGCCAATAACAGAGAATTCCAAGCTTCTCAGTTTGGTGCAGGATCTCATGTTACATAGGTTAACCTTAGTAAAAGGGAAGGTATGGGCCTCTGAAGATCACCACTCTTGCTAGCTAGTGTCAAGAAGCCACTTTTCAAGTATCCATTTTCAAGCATCCATGTTAAGTTTGTATTAAGTGATAATGTGAAGGGTGTTAGAAATTTTTAGAAAGGAATTATTTAAGGTTCCTTGAGTACAGAAATACTCTAGAATGCTTACTGCTAATTTTAGCCAGTTACACAGAAGTAATTTAATGGAGTGTTATCAAAAGACATTACCATCTGTGGAAGAAAGTTCAGTTGTAACCAAATATTTATTCAAGTGTTGGATAATTGCTTTTTCTATAATGCCTGTTAATTAGCAGTGAGTATGATACAATCTTTCCAAGGTGACCATAATCTTTGCTTCCACCAGATCTTTCTTTGTTACAGAGCTGTTTTTACATGGTGTCTTACTAGGAGTGGAAGCCTTGTTGTTAAGGAGGAGTAGAAACTACTCTTAGAAAAGCAGAGTCTTGAGATCTTGAGAAATATTTGTCAAGATGCGTAGAATTGTATTTTCAGTTAAAGAACCCTGTGGATATCTTTCCAGAAATATGAGCAAATCTATCTTGCATTTATAAAATATTTGGATTTTTTTTTTCAGAGAATATTGCTAGAAGGAATTGTGTACTGGTCCTGAAGGTGAGACAGAAAGGGAAACAGTCTCATGTATTTTCACCCTATGCTTCCTGTGATTTGGAACAGGCTCTTGGCCCATATCACCTCCCCATCAGATGCATACCTGAAATAACAGCCTGTAGAGTTCATACTTGTTACAACAATGTCCACATTGTAGAGTTTGTAGAAAGACTGAAGCAGAATATTTTAAGTATCTTGAGTAAGAAACTAAACATAGGTCTTCTGTCTTCTGAATATCCAGCATGTAGAGGATTTTGAAACAGCCTGTATCCTGGAAAAATCTTTGTTGTGCTGTGTGAGATACAGGCAGCATTGGGTAAATACGTTTTTTCTTAATTTCTTCTAGATTCCAATAAAAACATTCATGTTCCGTATTGCTTTGTTTTGTACTTACTTAAAAAGTTGTGAAGAGAGCACAAAGCCAACTCTTTGATCTTACATATTATAATATTAGTTGTTATGTGTTCTCCCTTTCTCCCAAGACTTTTAAGAATATGCTTAAACCATCCTTGTTTCTATCTTAATAGTACTTCTGTAATGTTTGTGAAGTTAATGAACGTATTCTTGAGAGTTTCTAGAAATGATGGAATTAATGTTCGATTTTCAGTCCTTTTTGTGAGAAATTATCTCTGAAAAATTCAGGTGCCATATTTGGTAGAATTCATAGAGAAACTTAAGCTTTCTGAATTTTGAGAGCAAACGGAGCAAGTGCTTTGTTTCAGATGGTTAAAACATTGCAAGGCTAGTGAACAAAAAGTATGTATTTAGGCTGTCAAGAAGTAGGGAATAAACTGAATAATTTGAAACAGTTTCCAAAAAAGCCGTTTTTCCTTTGTAAAATTTCAGGTTATACAGTATAGTTATTCTAAATACATATTTTTGTTTAAACTTTGCATTTGTTTCTAGTTTAAAATTTTTTGAGTGCTTAAGCAGTTGAGTATGTGGATGTAAATTTTTTTTTTTTTTTTTCTTGAGACGTGAGCACTTCCATCCACGCAGTAAAAGTTTAGGGACAGGCTGGTCCCTGTTCTAGAGGTTAGTAGGTTCCAGTTTGAATCAGTGAGAGCAAAACACAAGAAGCAGCAAGAATAAACGACCAGATGGTGCGCCATTTGAAACTTAGGAGGCAGTCCTCCCATTGCAGCTCCAGCAAGTCCAGGTAGTTTTAAGGCTGACTGCAGTGAGGTGTGATCCTAAATGATTTTGAACATGTGATAAAGAATTTAGTGCTTCTATGTTTTCAGTTTCTATTTGCTCTTTCAAACTTCTCTTTTGAAGAGAAAGTTCTTTTACATGGGCGAGCCTGCTATTTCTCAGATTTTCTCAGGAAAAGATGCTAATCTCTGCTAGGTGAAAATCTGCCAGTCTGTTGAAGCTTTGGATGGAGAATGTGAATCTAAAAAGTAATCTTTTACTAGAGGAGGTGTTGTTCTTTGTGTTAGAGTGAATCTAGATGGGTGGGATGTTAGTGTGTTGGATTCTTTTGTGTGTAACTTATTAAATTGATATATAAACTGTAAGATAGTGTATATACTTGGGAAGAATGAAATGAGTGATTTTTTTACTGTGTGTATGTAGAAATGAAGTAGGCATGTGTGAGAAAACAGTGCCATTAAATGCATGGGAATAATAGGTAAAAGCCTCATGAAGCTGTTTCTAGCAAAAGCTTCATTTTCTTTCTGGTATTTGTATGGTGGTATTATTGAAATTGATATAATAAAGCTTTTACAAAATTAGTAAAAATACAGTTCAGTTAAATACTCTCCCTTCTCCAACATCCTCCATTCCATCCCCTCCACAATCCATTTTTCCCCTTTTCTCTGTTCTTCTTCCTCCCCTTTCTTCATTCACTGTCAGGAAGGGGCGCCTCAGAAGAGTCATTTCAGCTCAGCACGCCACCGTCAGAGACTAGTGGAACCAGCAGCTACAAAAGTGAGTCTCTTTGTTGAAGGCCCATTTTTAAAATGGAATTTTGTGTCAGCAGAATATTTGTTTTCTAAGAGAAGCTCTTCTGTGTGCTTTGTGAGAAATAGATTTTTACTTACCTGCAAGTGATACAATCATTGTCTCTAAAGGTGAAGTTCAGCACTGGAAAGATTCATATTCAAGTGCAGCAGTCTTACTTTCTTTAAAACGTTGGGGTGAGTTGGGGAAACAGGAACTCTATGAAATGTTCTGCTTTGCTTTTATTACTTTGTGGAATGTGTTAAACATATGTAGTTCATTTGTCTCATTCTTAAACAAAAGGCTTTCATTGAATAAAAAATTTGGCAAAAATATGGAAAATGATCACACAGTCTATTATCAAGATGTGATATGAACTTTCAGAGTAAAAAACCCCAGCTTTGTCATCAAAAGATGATACTAGCAGATACAGTAGTAGTACTCGTTATAAGGTTATTCCGTCTTTCTGGAGATATGCTGCTTGCTAACAGGACACAAAAAAGCTTCAGATATTCAGTGAGTGTGATGTTATGGATCTTTTATGCCCTAGGCTCATAAGATGTATTATCCTAAAATATGTAATGCAAATTTTAGAGCATCAGTAGCTGTTCAGTTGTATCTGTCTTTTGCTACTTTTTGTGAGAACCAGCAAAAATGGAACTCTGTATCCATTACTACCACCTCCCAAAAGTCCCATTCTCTGCTTTTCTGTAGATTTGGATGCTTGCAGAATTGATCACAATATTTACATAGAACCTCTGATCCGTATTGGAGTAGATCAGTGGTAGTAGTCCTGGTCCTGAAATAAAAGCCCTGGTTTTATCAAAGAAGAAAAAGTGGACACATGTCTTGCCATGCATACTCCAGTCACTGTTGTCAGACCAATCTTCCTGTTGCTAAATGTGTTGACTTTTTAACTGTGGTGACTTCTACTGTTGCCAGCTTATATTGTTTATTCCTTTTAGCCTGTAACAACACTGTCGATAATAACTATTCTTTTGGGGCTCTGGAAAAGAGCATTTTGGTGTTTACAGAGGCAAAAGTGAATGAAAAGTGTGTGTATGTATATATGTATGTGTATATATTTTAAGGATTAGTTAAGTAGAATGAATTCTATGATTCTACTTAGGTTTGGAAAGGACCTTAAGAGCATCAAGTTCCAACCCCCCTGCCACGGGCAGGGACACCTCACACTAAACCATGTCACCCAAGGCTCTGTCCAACCTGGCCTTGAACACTGCCAGGGATGAAGCATTTGCAACTTCCTTGGGCAACCCATTCCAGTGCCTCACCACCCTTACAGCAAAGAACTTCTTCCTTATATCAAATCTAAACTTCCCCTGTTTAAGTTTGAACCCATTACCCTTTGTCCAATCACTAACAGTCCCTGATGAAGAGTCCCTCTCCGGCACCTTTGTAGGCCCCCTTCAGATACTGGAAGGCTGCTGTGTAGGAACAGAAATCAGTTCTGAATGAGACTGTCTCTTAAGGAACCCATGCTCTAGATGAGCCGCTTTTTGTGTGCATTGATGTACACTAGAATCACTCCAGGCAATTCCTTCAGCATAGAAAGCCAAAGGAAAAATGTATTCTGAAGTGGAGTTCTGTAAGTTGTGCTAGTGTTTGCTCCCTCCCCTTACTTATTTTTCCAGCAGTTTTCCACCGTACCCTGGTGCCCTACTATAGCCCTGGATGCTTCTTGTTGAAAGTAGATGCACTGTCAAAACCTCAATCTGGTAGCTGCAGAGCAACCTTCTCAGTATTTGCACTTGTGTTTTCTTTGGGGCAGAATGACCAGAAAAGGTCTTGACTGGTGTTTCCAGGGCCCTTGGCCACTGCTGTGTGTTCTTGGAATCAATTGCTACAACTGAAAGGCTGTTTGAAATAACTTGAGGTAATCATTTCTGCATGTTTCCCACTCCTTTCTTCTTTGCCTCATCCTTCTTTAGGTCTTAGGTCTGGGAAATGTCATGTTTACTTATGATCAGACCCCACTCATGTCAACCCACCTGGAAGGTAAGGTCTGGAATAGGCCTGGGCACCCCAACAGCTGCCCTTCGGCAGGAAGTTTTGGAGCAGGAATATTGCCTTATGATTCTGAACCAAGGAGGTGTAATTTGCTGCTTGGCATGGGACAAGCACTGGAAGTAGACGTGAGAGCAGTGAGAAGTCTGTGCCCAAAACCTTTGCAATCTTTGCTCAGGACAGTCAGGGCTGTGCTGTGCTGTACTCTTCCATGGACTGAAGCCACTCAAGAGAAGGGGTGAAGACAAACCTGACCTCCAGCAGGTGCTACAAGTTATGTGTGCTTGTGGGAGGAGTAGCCTTCTTCTGGCAGACTTCCCTGCAGACTGCTGCAAGTCAGTAGGAGTGTCATCAGAGTCCTTTCACCCTTCTTCTTCCCTGTTGTGGGACAGTAGGGACCCTTAGCTGTAGTTGCTGTGACAACCTGACCAGCACTCTGCTTGAAGAAATCCATGTGCAATGCAGCTGGTTAAGAAAGCCTACACTGTAAAAGGAAGTTGAGAATCCAGCTGAGAAAGTTGGACTCTATCTTGAAAGGCAACACCAGTGCAACCTGTCTCCAAGCACTACCAAAGACTTCACCTGCAGGTACACCTGCTGCAGTGCCTTCTTGGCAGGCCCCTTGGGCATGCAGGGTGTTAATCATCTGCTCTTGGGACTGTGGAGATCAGCAAAGCTTTCCTGATAAGGATTAGGAGGGTAGGGTTGAGTCTTAGCTGTGCTGGTAATTCTGGAAGTAGGAAGCTGTAGAAAGGCAACAGGACTGGCAGACCTTCTTCAGCAGCTTGTTTTATTACACTCCTTGGTCTAAATTTACTGCCTCAGGAAGAGCTGCCTGGTGGTAGGGGTAGATACACAGAAACCAGCAGTTTCATGGTCTTGACACCATCCTGAAGCAAGAGCTACTTTGTCCTTTCAGACTGAAGATGGCAAATGTCCATTAACAAAGCTAACATGCCTTTCTTTAAGCTTGTTGATTCAGCTCTTTCTCTAGTTTAAGAAACCACAGTACCACAAATCCACACCCCCCAAAACCCCTGAAACAAACCCCCAAATAAACAAACAAAAAACCCCAACAACCCAGAACAACTAAAAGCCCCAAGTCAAACCAACTTGTTACTTTGAAATGGTATGTTGCCTCTTGGCTCTGTAAAGGCTGGTGGATGCCTTTTATTCCTTTTGCCTTCCTGTGCAGCTGGCAGGATATTACGGAAGCCCAGGCTGCACAGCTTGCAGACTGTTGTCTGTGTCAAGGACACTGGGGGTGGGGGAAAAGCATCAGACCAGTAAAGAAATACTGGTTTTGTGCCCAGGAAAGCGTCCTGGTGGGCTTGTTATGGGTGTTTTGTTCTGCATGTCTGGTGCCTGGGTTTCCTGCATCTGGCTCCTAACCTCATGGGTATGGGAGAACAAAACTGTCTTTGGGAGACTAGGAAGCAGGGCAGTATCAGAGGACACTGAGGTACAACTTTGCCCAGAAGATCCTCTGTGTATGGTCAGCTGACTCTAGGTGAGCATCTGCATGCATTCTGCAGATCATCCTGGACCCAAATGAATGGCATTGTGGTTTAGTGATTTGATACGGGAGCATGGAGGTTGAGAAGTTACAAGGGAAAGCATTCAGATCATTTTCAAACTCTTATTTTTCAATACGTAGTAAGAATAAAGCTCTATTCTAGATAGGTTGCCAGTATAATTTGGAAGACTTGTAAATAACAGTTAATGAAGATTATTTTGAATATTGTTAGCTTGAAAGAACACTGATAATAGAATGAATCACATGGAAAACTCCAGGCTGGTTGTGAAAGAGAGAGCATTTCAACAGAGAGAGTTTGTTTGGCTTTAAGTCATTCTTTCTGGTGTGGGTACCTTACTAATTAGTTACAGAGAGTGGTAATCTTCCCCCAACTCATGCTAAACAATTTCAGCAGCATCTGTAAATAAAGATTTTAAAGAACAAGACTTTCTTGCTTGTGAAGGCATTTCTGGAGTAACAGTAGTAGTCACTATTGCCATATTCTACTTTTTAAACTGATGAAAGTTTTCTAGAACTGTTTTCTTCTCTGCCTACCTCAGTGATTTATGGCTTGTAAAGAAATAGTTTGCTATTGAAAGCCATGTCTTCCCCTGCCAAACCGCGGCTGGGGGGGTCTTAAATAGGTGGGAAGCCTGAGTAAAAAAAATGAATTATTTATATCTATCAATAATAAATGGCTAGGTAGATCAGATACTATTGTGCATCTTACTAAGCTACATCTTAAGTATGTTTTAAACACACATTCATTCTTAGAATTTTATTGCTTTTGCCATAAACTCAACACGAGTGGAAGGGTGTAATCCAGAGTAGGTATTCCTGTAACTTGTTCACTATGGGATCTGCTCATTTACAAAAAAAACCCAAATCATCCAATCAGCAGGGGAGTGCAGAGAAGAAAAAAGTACTATTCCCTAGCACTCCTCTCTGGCAACAGCTGATATAAGTTGATTTGATGCCCAGTTGATTGCTAGGAAGTTATGTTTACCAAAGGTTAGAGAGCCTGGCAGATGTATAAATAGAAGCAGAAGATAGTTGGCAGTCAGATATTACAAATGGATCTTCTCTTTCGTGAGTTAAGTTTGTTTTCCTTATAAAATCTGAACAAGCCAGTCAATCAGTAGTGTAATATTCATGGTACTAGATAGGGTATTTTTGACCTGCTGTGCCAAAACAGAAACAAAATAAATCCACAGTATTCCCTTACCAAAACCTTAGTTTTGTGGAAGATAACAGCAAGTTATAATTAGATGTTTTCAGCTGTTACTTTAAATGTGTGGCCTTCATCTCAATGGTGCTTGCATGCCTCCCGATGGATTAAAAATAGAAATAGCTGTGGTAGAAATAGTATTAGAAATTGTTTGGCTAGCCTGAATGTTATTATGTATGCAAAACAGTATTACAGAACGTAAAGTTAGTCTTAAGATAT